GTGCATGCTAATGTGCTTCCTTCATTGCTTTGTTCTCTCTCTCCCTCTTTCTTTTCTTACTTTTTAAGGAAAGATCCATTGGAACCAAGAAATGGTGCTGAAGAGAAGGGTGAAGGTGGAGAAAAACACCAGAGTGTTTCTATTTTATTTTTTTCTATATAGCACTCTGGGAAGTTTTGAAGGGGGGAAAAAAAAGAAAAGATTTAAGAAGTGATACATTTGAACTTCGGCCAAAAGCAAGCCATCAAAACGGGACACTGTCTCTTTAAGTGCAAGCCTGCACAAAGAAAAGGAAATTAATTAAGTATCCAACCGTCGCTGGTGTGGCGCCTCGGGAAGAATACACAATCTGGGACCCGCATGCCAAATCTGAAATGAAAATGAAGGTGATCCGTCATGTTTGGCTGTTTTTTGTTTTTTTTTTTTAAGACAGAATATATATTTTTGAAAGTTGACTAAGCAATTACCCAAATTAAAGAAATAGGAAAAGCAAACCGTGGTAGGAAAGGCTTTAATATTTTTTAGAGGGTAAATTAGTTTAAAAATGTGGGCCTTTTATTATCTTCATACCAAAGAGAATGAATTAAAAAAAAATAAATAAAACAGGGGGTCCCTTTGCTCCTAAGTGCCAGCATCTAGGAGAAGTCATGGATCCCCTCTGCCAATGAGAAAATAGCCAAACTGATCAACTCCTCGTCCTCCACCGAGGGAGGCACGCTCAGCCTCCCGGGGCCTCCTTCCTTTCTTACAGGTGGGTCTCCACGCTCCATTGATTCCACGTGCTTCGAGCAACCCGGTGGGTTCTGTCCCTCACCAAGCCCAGCCTTCTTCACTGTTGACCCGGGCCCTGCCATCGGGCAGGGGACAGCGCCTGGTGTGGCCCTGCTTCTCTGCTCTCTTGCAAAAGCAAAGGGGCTTTAGGTAGAAAGGTCCCCCCACAGAGGGTAACATGCCAGCACATGTCCACGAGACTGTGGTCAGTCGTCCCTCTTCTCACTTGGGAAGACAACAGCAGCGGCCGAGCTCCAGGGAACTCCTGCTCCTTCCCCAAAGTCCCCGAGCTTGCACCCTGGGTGGCAGCGGCTGTGAGAAGGGTCCCTCCGAGGCCCTCACGGCATGTGCCAGGGTTGCTGAGGAAGGGGACGTTCCAGGGCACCCAGGTGCTGACCACAGACAGAAGAAAAAAACAAATCCCTGGCCAATGGTCACGACTGAGACAAAAGGTAGTTTATTGTCTTTTATAAGTCGAGAGCTTGAAGGTAGGTCTGGCTTCCACCATGATCGAATTCAGGGCTTGGATGAATGTGGGTTGACTGACCACACCTCGACTTCCTGCCTTTGCCAGTTCTTCTCACTCTGGAGTCTCATTTTTTATTTTTTAATTTTTTTGTACCAGGGTTTGAACTCAGGGGCACTCGACCACTGAGCCACATCCCCAGCTCTATTTTGCCTTTTATTGAGAGACAGGGTCTCACTGAGTTGCTTAGGGCCTTGCCTTTGCCGAGGCTGGCCCTGAACACGTGATCCTCCTGTCTCAGCCTCCCGAGCTACTGGGATTATAGGCGCGAGCCACCGTGCCCGGCTGGAAACTTATTTCTTTCATGAAAGTTTACTGGGAAAAAGGAAACTTTTCAAAGACTTCTTAAAAACTTTGGGAATTCTGCTGTCCATGATTGGCTTACTTTGGGCTCTGTGACTATTTTTTTATTTATTTACTTTTATTTTCCATGTTACTCTTAGTTATACATGACAGTAGAGTGTATATTGGCATATTTGTACAGACACAAAGTACTTTTTATTCGGATTAGATCCCGTTCTTGTGGACGTACATGCTGTGGAGATCCACCGTGGTGTATTCACACATGTACACAGGAAAGCCACGTCAGGTTCCCCTTGCTTCCCTCCTCCCCTTTGTCTAATCCCTATTCACTCCTTCTTGTGAGTTAGCATCCACATATCAGAAAGAACATTTGGCC